GGCAGGCTGACCAGAGAGGTTGTGGAGTCTCCTTCTCTGGAGACCTTCAAAAGCCGACTGGACACGTTCCTGTGCAACCTGCCCTGAGTGATCCTGCTTTGGTAGGGGGGGTTGGACCAGATGATCTTCAGAGGTTCCTTCCAACTCCTACCATTCTGTGATTTTGTGATTCTGTGATTAATGACCTGGACAAGTTTGCTGATGATACAAAACTGGGAAGACTGGCTGATACACCAGAGGGTTGTGTCACACTTTGACTAGGTGGAGAGGAACCTCATGGAGTTCAACGAGGGGAAATCCAAAGTCTTGCATCTGGAGAGGAACAACCCCATACAATAGTAGTTTGAGGCCAACCATCTAGAAACTCTGCAGAGAAGAATCTTGGGGTCAGGCAAGCTCATTGTGAGCCAGCAATGTGCCCTTGTGGCAAAGAAGGCCCACAGCTTCCTGCATTGTACTGGGAAAAGCCTTGCCAGTAGGTCAAGGGAGGTGATCCTTTCCCCCTACTCAGCACTAGTGAGATCCCACCTGGAGTGCTGGGCCCAGTTCTGGGCTCCCCAGTACAAGAAAGATAGGGACTTGCTGAAGCAAAACTAGGGCAGGTCAAAGAATGATTCAATACCTGAAGCATCCTTCATATGAGAAGTGGCTGAGAGACCTGGGACTGTTCAACCTGGAGAAGAAAATGCTCAGGGGCATCTTATCAAAGTGTATAAATACCTGATGAGGGGAACAAAGAAGAGGCATCCAGGCTCTTCTCAGTAGTACGCACCAACAGGACGAGGCAATGGGCACAAATTAAAACACACAACATTCCATCTGAACACAAAAAACCACCTTTTTACTGTGAGTGCAGTCAAATACTGGAACAAGTTGCCTTTAGAGCTTGTGTAGTCTCCATCTGTGGAGATATTCAAAACACTACTTTACAGGGTTCTGGGCAACCAGTACTAGGTGACCTTGATCGAGCAGGGGAGTTGGACAAGATGATCTCAGGAGGTCCTTTCCAGTCTAAACAATTCAGTGACATTTAAGTGCAATGAAAAAAAAAAAAAAGTAGAAATATTTAACTCTCGACCCCTGCTTTACTTTTATATGGACTCATGAAAACTAAACATGACCCATTTCCTCTATCAAAGAGGACTTTTGACTATTCAAGACATGACTATTCTGGCACATTCATACTTTCCACACCTAAAATCTCCTTTGCTGATCATATTCAGAAGTTACTTGCAACTTCTTGTGAAGGGAGAACAACAAGAACAGATGAATTATAAATCTGTTTTACAGATTATTCTATGGATCTTTCTCAAGTATTATAAGAGTTTAAGCCTCTGAAAATGTGGGGAGAGAAACTAAGCAGGTGGTCCTCTCTTTCAGATACATTAAGGAAAAGAATAAGAAAGACTATTTCTTTCAGAAGATGGCAAGGCACAGAATGGCTGCCTCTCGGAACACAAAGCTCTAAAGAGCACCTTTGGCGGTGACAGAAAACTCCCTCTGTGTAAATATCCCATCAATGCAGCCTCTGCATTTCTAAAAGAACTGTAAATATCTCCCTCATGGACAATGAAAAAAAAGTGTAACCTGATCAAAATGATTGGATATAAACATAGCGGTAGATGCAATATAAAATAGATAGATACTAGAGAATAAACCTAAGAGAAAAGAAGA